TGCGCAGAGATCGGTACGCATTTCTCTTGCCGACAGTCCGATGACTATCGGGGAAAAAAATCGATATTCTGACTTGGGAAACGGTCGGGGCAAAACTAGCCCGACGTGGATTTCTGCGAGACGACGACGCCGCCGCGATTCGAGATGGCCGCGGCGAGACTCGGCCATTTCTCGCCGTCTCGCTCTCCTCTCTCTCTCTCTCTCTCTCTCTCCGTTCGCGGCGGATTATCGTCGTGCCATTAATCGGCGCGCTGACGGCGGTGCGGACGCGCGTGAAAACGGATGACCACGGGCCGGAGAGACGTTGAATATTGAAATAAAGTGTCATACATTCAACCGGCGTGGTAATAATTAAGCATACACAATGTTGGCCGTAATAAAATCCGCACGTTCGGAATATCGCGCGGCGCGGCGCCGAGTAAATCGTACGGCGCGTCGTATGCGGCAAATGTAAAATCGTTGATTGCGACACGCCGCGATTTATACGGCGGCCGGGGCGTAGGAAAATATTTTGACGGCTGTTACAGAATTATCCGGCCGGCCGCGTCGGCTGACGATTAATATCACGAAAATTCCATGATTCCGCTCGGCAAAAAAAAAAAAAAACAACAAAGGCACGCGCACATTCAAGTACACGACGGTAATGCCTCGCCGATCAACGGCGGCGGCGGCAATGGCCGACGCGCGCGCGCGCGCGCGCGCGTGCATTCATTATGTACATTTCACGTTTGCGTAATTGCTTTCGCTTTATTACTCCGCGGAGTATCGTATTTCGATTACACCGTCCGGCCCGGCACGGTTTTCGGCAGTCGCCGCGCTATTTCGCGCGTATGAAATTTCGCGGTCGACTCCTGCCGGCGTATCACTTGGCCGGTCTGGCATCACCGGGGGTCGGAACGAGTGTCATTAATATTCATTCCGATGTTCTTTGGCCGCTGTAATAATAAGCGCGGGGGGGCATCGCCCATTTATAATGCGCGGCCGCGTGATCCTTTTGGCAGGCAGGTGAGACCGAAGCAACGAGAGACGCGAATCGTTAATAGTGATGAACGACGCTGAGAATCGCCCGGTGCGTGAAAAGGCCGACGGATAACTTCCCTTTTCCCTTGCACCCGTCCGGAGAAAACGATGGCGCGGATCGTCGCTCGTGGGTCGCGCGGGCACGATTTTCCCGGGACCTCGAATTCATCGTTCGGGATTGTCGTCGCACGAAAAGTGGCCACTTGGCGCGCGCTAAGGAACGCGTTCGCCGAGAGAGAACGACGGGAGAGGGAGAAAGAGAGAGGTGGCGGAAACTTATACCCGCGAGCGCGAGCGCGCTGCAAGAAACCCTTAATGCACCCACAAACAATTTTCACGTTCGCCGTGAAGCGGCGGTAAATTTTAGAGGATGGCGTATGGAGGCCCTGAGATAGATCAATGTCGGGTAAAAACGTTGGATCACAGAAACGTGGCGGCGAACTCGGTGCTAGCGAAGCGCCGGAGAAAAAGAGAGAGAGAGAGAGAGATGGAGCGAGAGGGGGAGAGGAAGAAAGAGAGAGAGAGAGAGAGAGAGAGGAGAGCGAGCTCATAAATAAAAGATATCGCGGTGAACGTGGGTACATGTGTGCGTGCGTGCGTGCGTGCGTGTGTGTGTGTGTGTGCGCGCGCATGTCGACAATTATTCCTGCGTGGAACGACGCGCTTCTTGTATCGTCGAATACATTTTGTACGACGACGTGTACGTTACACAACGTGCAGCTACACCCCGCGAGATTCCACTCGACCTGACCCGAACCTTCCATCTCCGTCCGACCCGGCATCTTTCCTACTTTGTCGACAAAAACTCGCCGTCCCGTCGAGGGGACGATACCGAACGAGTGCATATTGCGCCGGAATTATTCTATGCAAATCGCATTATTCCCACCTCACTGCATTACAACCGACCGTAATGTATTCCGGAGGGGGATTTATGCGGCTTTGCGGAATAATACCTGACTTAACACATTACTACGGGGAGTAGTTGGCCGCGACAATAAGAGCCTCGGCGAGAGAGAGGCAGGGAGAGAGAGAGAGAGAGAGAGAGAGAGAGAGAGAGAGAGAGAGAGAGAGAGAGAGAGAGAGAGAGAGAGAGAGTCGCGATCGGTTGTTCTTAGTTGAGACACAGAGCGCCGTGCTCTGAAACTTGAGCGAGACGCGCAGCTGTAAATGTCGCACCGCTTGGCGCAGCCAATCGTCTCATCGCTGCGTTACATTTCAAATTGTAACGAGCGCTGCGATCAGTGTTTTGACCCCTCTGTGCATATTTATTCATTTAATTCATTTATTCAGTTATTTATTTCGTTCGAAATCTGAGTCACGCTTCGAGGTCAATGATCCCGCGACATCTCGACGCCCCGATCGCCGATCGAATAAAGGGAGCGCGTTTGAAGAAAGAAAAAACAGAGAAAAGAAAGAACGGACAGAATATCGGGCAAAAAAGAACGTTAATGCGGAAAGACAGATGGCAATCGTCGGACGAGAGCGTGCGCGCGCGATACGCGCTAACCAGATTACCGGCTCCGAAGTATAATCTTCTTTACGGCTCGGGGAGCTTAACGATCCGCTGTGGACTCAATAATGGCGATACCGATGCCATTAAAAGACGCTTGTCTCGACCGCTCGTGGATTTGCATAAAACGATTGGAAATCTCCGGCGAGAAAAGGAGGGAGCATTCGCTCGCTCGCTCGCTCGCTCGCTCGCACGCTCGCGCGTGTCTTACCGCGCGCGATGTCAAATTTCCTCCGTCAATCTAAGCCGCGCAGCGGCTCTCGTCTCGGCGGCCGAGGGAGAAACGAGCGTCCACACAGGGGACAAGGCACGATCCCGTAAGAATCAGCGGGTAGGTGCGGAAATAAAGTGCAATCTCGCTCCGCGAATTTACACTCGATTTCTCGCGGAATAACGACGCGCCGGCGAAACTACGTCGGCGGCGCGGCGGTTCACGCGCGTGTATCACGCGCGATATTGTAAACACGCTACGATACTTGAGCGGGATTTAACGTCGCGGCCGCGTACCGCGGCTCGGCGATAAATTACAGCGCAGATTAGAATAGTTAATGTCGGCCCCGTTCGAGCGCGACGTCACCGAGTAAATCTCGCGAACGCGTTGCGCCGCGGCGAGTCGACTCGATTTGATTCGACGGCGCGGCTGAAGACGCGACGCGCGCGCGGATATATTGGACGGGCTCGGGCGTCTATGGTGGTTATTAAATACGCATCGGGGTTATGCAAAGAGAAAGAGAGAGAGAGAGAGAGAGAGACAGAGCTGCGGTGAATCCTCCCTTTTCAGGAAGGAAAGTTGGTACGGAAGAGGACAAGCCGCCGGGGGTAGCGCGCGAACGAGCCGCGCATAGAAAATATCTGACGTCGGAGATAACGGATCTGCCGTTCGTGCGAAAGCGCGAATAAGAGCACCGAAACGAAATCTGGGAGTTTTTCTTGTTTCGCTGTCGGCGGCCAGGGACGGCGAAAAGGTCCAAGGACTCGTGAAAAATTATACGCATCCGAAAAAAGGGGGGGGAGGGGTCCGCGCGGTATTCTCCCCCGACGCGAGCGATTTTTCTTGCGCGCGTTTTTCTTCTCCCTCCCCCCCCCCCTTCTCCGCAGTCTCTCTCGCCGCGTGAGAATACATCTTCCATTTCTGAGTGAGGTTTCAAAGTTTCGGCGCAGCGGTGGCGATGAATGAGCCGCCGGAGACTGGATTCGCTCTCGAAATTGCTGTCCCTCGCGCGAAATCTTAAGCCGAGCCTGCCGACAGTCAATTACCGGCAGTGCTGAAATCAGGGTAAATGCCGGCGGCGGCGGCGGGCGGGGTCAGCGGCGTGACCTCCCGCGCACGAGCGCGAAGGACGATGGATGCTTTCCTCGACGGTGGTGGCGGTTTACCAGTTGAAGGCGCCAGGACCAGGGCCGGAATTTTCGAACAAAAGAGCGGAGACCCTGATTTAGTGGCGTGCATAATTTCGTCCTGGTCATAAATTAATATTTCCACCCCTTTGTCCATTCGTCGAGCCGCGGCCGCGGAAGAAAAGGATCTTGATGAATGAAAATCCTTGCGCGTGTTTCGCTGCGCGCACACACGCGCCGCGTGCACGTCCGCGGATCGGCGACTCCGTGATTTTGATAACAGCCCGATTGTGCGCGAATTTACGCGCCGTACTTTGTCCGCCACCGCGCGCCACCGACGCTTATTAGCATGGAAATTGCGCCCGAAATGTGACGATTGTTTCTAGGAAGTTAATTGAATACCGTCGGCCGCCCGATAACCGGCCCGATAAAAATTCAGTGCGATATAATTTCGGGTTTCAATCATGGGGCGCTGTCGTTTGATTTATTCGGGGCGTTCGCGCGTAGCGAACTATATTTCGCAGGTTTCATTCGCAGCCATGAAAATTGCCCCGCGAATTATATACGGAGTTTATTGTTCGCCAGAGTTTACAAATATTCCTGCGCGGCTTCTTGTTGCGCGCGTCATGAATTTCGGTATTACACGAACAAATCTGTATCTTTGTGTGCGTTCTCGTGTGAGGCACAAGCGTTTCAAGGGAATGTAACAAAATGCGCGCACGTCACTTTTTGGCGGATTATTTGCTCTCCCGTTTCAGCCCGGGCGTTTTCGGCGCAGTTTTGCGATGTATCGCGATATATTCTCTCTCGATCTCGACCCTCATGAATTATAATCAGGAACTCCAGAATCAAAGCGAATGTCCCCTTTTTTCATGTACTCGTATATATTGTATAATATATACATTTCGACTCTGACTATTCGACGAGATAATTTCATTTATTGTTTCAATCATGCTGCTTCAATGATCAGCGAACGAGAATAATTTCCATAATAGCCTACGCTAATCCCTATCAGTTTTAACATTGGGAAGCGCGCGGATTTTGCGATAATTATCACATATTTACCATTGTTAGTTTAACGTCGACGTGCGTCCATCGTAGTAATTGTTCTCCGCATTTTGATTGTACGCAGATCCCCCGAATCGGATTACACCGCTCGTGGCCGCCGCATTTTTAAGGTAAGACTTAGCTTAAAATCGTGCATGCAAAATCTTTTGCATTTAAAATTCCGACGCGATTGCATCGAAAACGAAGGAACGAAGGAAAAAGATGCGACCGCGCGCGCGCGTCCAAATACACGCGCTCTCGCGTGTACATGTGTGGCGCAGCGCGCTTGTGGAGTTGTAGGGGTGAGGGAGGGGGAGGGGCAGGGAACCTCGCTCGGTGAGCAAAAAAAAGTCATCGCAGCCGCGCGAACGCTCGAAATGAAAAAACGGGGAATCGAAGATTTAAGAGTGGTGTACCGGCGCGGTCGAGACGATGTATCGCCGGCTATGCAGAGCTATGAGCGTTAGAATTAAACAGCCCGCCAACAGCTTCACAGCGTTTTCATTCCGTTTAGCCGCTCTCTCTCTTTTTTTTTTTTTCACTCACCCACCCACCGACCCATCCTTCTTTTCTTCCCGCTGGAACCGAGGGTGTCGGTGCTGTGCGCGACGCTGGCGGAAATTTAAATGTATGTCGGTGGATATACGCAAATATTTCCGCGTGTACGCGGAGCTTATCCGCGGATTAATACTTGAGCCTGAAATCGGAGGAAAAATTGCATCGATCGACTTACGCTCGTCGCCGGTTCGTTCGTTCGTTCGTTCGTTCGTTCGTTCGTTCGTTCGTACGTCGCTTTGCCAGCGCGCGTGAATTAAGCGACTTTGGCTCGCTGTGCGAGCGCGTCGGAGCGTAGGATAATTAATCACTCGAAAATTCGCGGTCCGGAATGCGCGCGCTCGCGCACGCGCACGCGTATATACCGCGATGATTATTATAAAGGTATTAATAATAACGGTAATTACGGGCGCTTTCATCGGGCGCGAGCATTGCTCAGAATAACGATAAGTGCGATAATCATTCGCCGTTCGGAAGGCAGTTTCGTCGTAATAAAAAACTGATAAAATGTAAAGCCCTTGCGCCGGAATTTAATATATCACGTACGTGTTATCGCAATTGTATATGCGTGAAATGCGGCAAATTTGTAATTATGATTGCTACGTACGCGGCGCAAATGAGAGAAGAATTTCGTCGGGACGAGCTTGTTTCACCGCACTGTTATTTGTTCGGCTGACTGTCGAGAGAAGGAGAAAGAGGGGCGGGGGGAGGTGGATGAGAGCGAGAGAGGAAAGTGGTGGGAAGGTTGGCTCGCCCGGGGGAGGGAATGACGTCGAACGAGGGGGCAAACGCGATTTTCTAAACTCCGTACGCGCGCGCGCGCGCGCGCGCGCGCGTATTTTTGCCGAGACATCGATATAACTCACTCGGCCGTTGTAAATAACTCTGTGTCGCGACGCGGAAAGTTTAGTTTTTATAAAACCGCCGGAAAATTGGCCGACATGAAATATATCGGTGTCAAGCAAATGAAATATTCCGTGTGTCGTTTGACGCGCTGAAATTGGAGAGATAATAAAATGCGATAAAAGAGCCGGCCGCGGGCACATTCGCGCGTCCCGCGTAATCAGCGTTAATCAGACGAGCGACCGGGTTCAGTCTGGATTTACGGTAACGCTAGTTCTCGTAAATTTCGCCCGCGTAATTGACGTGATAATCAGCGGCGCCAGCGAAATTTTCCGGTGCGCTGATCGGTCGCGGCGAAATCCGTATGAGCGCGCGCGCTCGATTAGCAGCGCCGCGCGACACCGCCGAATCTTTGCGCGAATTATCGCGATGACGGAATTCAATAGCGGGGGCCGCGTGGAATGGCGGGATGATGAATTAACCGCGAGCGTGCGTGCGGTGGTTAAAATTGCTCGCGCGCTAAGGATATCGCGCCCCGGATAAAACGTCGATCGATGTTCTCGCGTTATCGCATCGCGGGGGAAACGGAAAACGTCGTCGAGCGACGGACGACTCTTTCGTCGCGTGATAGACGGACGGAGTGACGGAAATCATTCGGCGATTTCCGCGGCCGGCCGACGAGACCGAACTCGTTTAACCGATATTACGATGTGCAGCCGACTAGTCGCGCTAGTCGACTGGATCCGCATCGTGAAAATATCGCATGATGATCGCATTTGAGCCGCATTTACATAACGCGCTCATCGACACACACACACACACACACATTAGTCTCGAGGATCCACGATTATCGTACGTCCAGCGGGTGAGAATCGCCGCCATCGACTGCCCGCGCTCCGTTCCCATCGTCGTGCACTAGGAAAAAAAATTTAGTATCTCTAACAAAAGAACTGTTTAGTCGAGGCATTTTTTAATAGCAACCAAATATCTTGTCTTATATAACAAAATATTCCGTTGTCTCAACTAAATATATTTTTCTGCTTTGTTCTCTGGACCAAATGATTTTGTTCTTAGACTTTATATATATATATATATATATATATAAAAATTAAGCATTTTAGTTATTTTATCCATAAAAATTACATAACAACGAAATATTATTTTACATAAACTAAAATAATGCCCAATGGATACTATTTTGTGCACTTTCTGTGCACTAAAATTTAGATTTTATATATTGAGAAAGAATTATAGTATTTTTCAACAAAATTCATATAGTTAGAGCTTTCTGCTTGCTGTAACAAAAGTATTACGTTACACGAACAAACCGTGGTCAAACGAGATATTTGTTTACAGGAACTAAACAGTTTTGTCGGGCATATTTTGCACGACCAAGCTATTTTGTTGTTACAACAAGATTTTGGTGCGCGCAACGATACATTTTTTCTAGTGTGTGAAAGTTCGCGAGAGCGATAGCGCGCTCGCCGGGGCGAGATTAAAAGTCCACATCTCCGCGGCACACGTGCGCCGCGCTGTTCTCCGGATCGAGAGTCGTGCGATTTTTAGCTTTGTTACTAGTACGCGCGAGATTGAAAGTCGCGCGGGCAATTGTAATTGCCACGGCGCGCGTCATAAATGACGCGATGATGTACGCGCTAAACGGAGAGATCGAGTCGCGAAATATTTCATGTTCCCGAAATCGTATTCATTGCGCGACAAAAGTCTCTCTTCCGTCTTCCCGATAGCGAGGTAAAAGAATCTCGGTTTGATTATTACCGAGGCGCGCTTTTGCCGCCGCGCCGCGCGTCACGTTGTCGTCGAGCGAGCGAACGCTTGAAATTCCATGGGAGTCGCTCACGGATTCCAGATTCCTCCCTTCGGTTCCGTCAAAAGTCTCTCGTTTAGCCGGGCGTTCTTTCCCACCTCGCCCCCCTTCTCCTCCCGTCTTCCCTCCCGTCTTTCTCCTCTTTTCTCGGAGTCTGAGGCGCATTTAGCGTGAACCGTCACGTTCGTCGCAGTGGCAATTTGTCGGGTGACGGTCACGTCAGGTCGCGTCACTGAAATTTTTAATTCCTTAGAGAGAGAGAGAGAGAGAGAGAGAGAGAGAGAGAGAGAGAAGGAGGGAGAGAGGGATGGGTGGGAAGCAGCAACGACAGTAGGGCAAGATTGGTGAGAGTGGTAGGGTTCATTTGTCCCGCGACAATTACGTAATGCGTGGCAATAAGGCGCACAGACCGGCGCGGGTCGTCGCGACGCATAAAAGCGCGACGCACGGGCGAGGGGAGGGGGGGGAGAGAAACACAGCGGTCGCGAACACTTTGCAGGCTGCGCTGCGAAGCGTTGCTGAATACAGCGCGCGAGTTCTCGCACGGTAGGATTCGTAGGGAGGGTCTTTTACCGTAAACTTTATCCCCGTGTTACGGTCTTCCTCTCCCCCCCCCCCCCGCATTAGCTTGTAAGGTACACGTTACCAGCTCCCCCCCGCGCCGCAAGAGTTAGCGAGTTAGACTTGGCGGAACTTATTCGCGCTTCATAATTTATTCGCCGTAAGTAATCCTGATTTCAGGTGCCGCGTTACAATTGGAGATCCGCGTGTCTCTCCAATTAACATCCGGCAAACACACCCGAGGCGCGCCCGCGCGAAACTTCATTAGCGTCTTGTAATCAGAAGCTATTTATATGTATATACGTATACGCGCGAGAGACTACGAGAGAGACAAAGTCGCGGGGCGCGCGCACGCTCGTCATCCCGACACTTTTCCGCGGTTTTAACGCTCCGCGCTCTCTCTCCCTCTCTCTCTCTCTCTCGGCCTCTTTCCGAGTGCTCGCCGCGCGCTCATTGTTATTCCCGCTCGCTATTTGCGCCGCGGGTATCGCGCACGTCAAAGCACCTAGCGCGAATCTCCCGCTGCTGATTCCCTCTCGGCACTCGTCAGCCACGCGCGCCGGCGTTATCTGCGAACCGCAGCACGCGTCGGCAGTAGTACAGCCGTACGGCTGGTCGGACGTTGACGCGCTGTCGCTGCGAGGGACGAGTGCTCGACGGTGGTGCCCTTGATGGAGAATCCCCGGTATCTCCCCGGTCGGAGATTTCGAACGTTCAACTTGAAGCTATTCGCGTGACAAGTTTTACATATATCCGCTCATTTGTCCTGGGCGTGATCGCGGAAGCGCGCGCGACGTAGCCACGCTCGCTCGTGGAAATGTGGATTTAGCGATGCCAGCGATTTCGTGAAAATATTTCTCGCAGCGGGGAGAGAGAGAGAGAAAGAGAGAGAGAGAGAGAGAAAGAGAGATTTCCCTCCAAATTTTCTCACCACGATGCAAATGAGCGGAATATTCTCCGCGCCGGCGCGCAATGTTCTCCTCTCTCGGGGTTGGTGTGTCCCAGACGCGAGTTATTTATATGAATTCGATGCTCGCGTAAGATTGTATCTTGTGTCTAGGTCGTCCTGAGTAAAATTAAGTCTCAAGTCGTCTTGGCTGAGTGACAGCTCAACATCGCCCGAGGGAGCGAGTGAATAATAAAGTTTATATTTTCGGATTCGCATCCGCTTCAGAAGCGGCGCGCGCGCGCTTTCGCTCGTGGGGCGAATTTGTCGCGGAAAATCGACCGCGCCAAGGCGCGCAGAGCGAGAGAGGCGGGGTGGCGCCACAGTGGATCGGAACTTCAAATTCTGTGGGCATCGACTAAAATTCTGTTCGGAAGCAAAATTTTGTGCAGGAAGAAGTTTTAATGAAATTAATTTTCATAAAATATTTTATTTGTGATAGTTTTGTATACCATTTTGATAATAGTATCGTAACGAATATATATAAATATACAGTATTCCTATTCGG